ACTAAACCCGGTCTAAATCAGGACTAAACCAGGACTAAACTAGGTCTAAACCCGGTCTAAACCAGGACTAAACCAGGACTAAACCCAGTCTAAATCAGGACTAAACCAGGACTAAACCAGGTCTAAACCCGGTCTAAACCAGGACTAATCTTGGACTAGGACTTGGAATCTAGGACCGCCCGAGAGAACCCTGAGCCCGTGGAGCAGGGTGTCTGCAAAGCGCGATCGGGCGTCGGCTGTGTTTAGCCCCGTGGAGCGTGGAGTTCCTTTCGCCCGCGGTTACCCGACGGTCTACACAGGCGCACCTATGGGCCCGTCCTGACATTCGAAACTGTAACGATGGCGTTTCACCACTGCTGATATTGTGGTGATTTTAGTGAATTTGTATGAAGAAAAACAAAAAACCCACCACTTCAAACCAGGTTAAAAATGCAATATAAAGCACGTTACTGACATTTGTATTGAGTAAAATATTACCTTTTTTCCCTCTAATGCCTTACATTATTGCGTTACAGTAAAAAGCAATGCATTACAGTAATTCGATACTTTTATAACACATTACTCCCAACACTGCAGATAAAGCAGGAGAAAATGGATGAAAAATAGAGTGTTTTCTGTTTGAGAGAAGAACCCAGCCTAAGTATGCAGGATTTATGTGTTAAACATGTGTGAATGAAACAAAACAAAATACCGGGTATGTTTTTGATGAGGAAACCTTACAACATAGATCAGAAAATAAAGTAATATGGGCTCTTAAAAGTCAAAAATCAAACACATTTTTACACATTTGCTAATCCTCATTTCCAACACCCTTACGCAACATGAAATCTTCTTGATGTGAGGTGAGATTACTGGCTACTCGAGCAACGTGGCCAGGTTGGAACAAAATAAGCAGGAACAAAATAAGTAAATAAAGAAAGCCTAATGGAAACAAGGGGCAGAACAGTGTACAGTGGAGTAGAGTGGGGGCTTTGATGTACATCCGTGTTTATAATATACATACTGTAGCTTTACATGCCTCGCATATATCCTGACTCTGGCACTGGGACCTCTGCACGACCCCTGAACTCATGACCCATGTGCTGCCTTGTGGTTGCAGAGTATGTTGCATGTTATGAGCAACAATAATAGTGTGTGTGAGATTATCTGATTAGAATGTACTTTAATCCATACACTATCATACACATAACATCACTGCACATGACCTGTCAAGTGTCTTTCCGTGTAATCCATATCCATAATGATATCGTAATTACCACGCCGGTCAAAAGGTCAACAGAAGTCCAGCTCGCTCCAGTATAAATATGTCTACATCTCTTGTATCCAGGCCCGTTGACAGAAATTTGAGGGCCCGGGGCAAGAAGCCGCTCATGGGCCCCCCTCTAATATAGAGGAGAAGGGTCAAATTCTGGGCCCCTAAAACACTAGGGCCCAGGACAACACACCCCTTTGTCCTCCCGTCTACTGCCCTGCTTGTACCGATACTCCGGCTCCAGACCTGGAAATGGGTCAAACAAGTAGAACAAATTTCAGTTCACTTATCTCGCCAGCCATCTCGGCTGCACAGTGAACCACAATCACATTTTATTCTCTGGCTTTTAACACCGTGTGAGTTGTGTGGTCCGCTGTGTCTTTTATTCATTTATTTATTTATTGTTTTCACCTATTTTATATTTTTAATACTGCTTTTATGTAATAATGTTATTATTTTAGTTCATTGATTTTATTATTATTATTTTATTTATACATTCTATTAGTTTCCTCTTGGTTGGAACATAATTCTGATTTATTATTATTATTATTATTATTATTATTATTATTATTATTTATTATTATTATTATTTTATTATTATTTATTTATTTATTTATTGTTTTAACCTATTACATTTTTTTAATACTGCTTTTATATATTGATATTATTATTTTTGTTCATTTATTTTATTATTATTATTATTATTTTATTTATACATTCTATTAGTTTCTTCTTGGTTGGAACATAATTCTGATGTATTATATTATTATTATTATTATTATTAATAATAATAATTTGTATTTATTTATTTATTGAAAACCCTTCTTTATAAAATGTGCTATAAAGTTGGATTGGATTAAGTCAATGCGCATATAAAACTGCAAAGACATTTATATTTAAATATTTATTTAGCAAATAATGTAAATGTTACAGTATTGATTCATTTACAATGACCAGACGCTGAGGATGTTCTACATGCATGTGTATTGGCGGAATGTTCACCAGTTGCCATAGAGACACAATGCGCACATTTGCAAATACTGTCAAATAAGATCGTTTGAAAACTCAAGAAGATAAAACTAAATGGATTTAAACAACTTTTATTTTTTCTTTCCTTGCAGGAGCCTGTGATCAATACGAGCATTAATGGTGTTTGATTTTCAACAGTGACTGTAATGTTATTTGAGACAGACTTGTTTAACAGAACAAAATCAGCTCACCTGTTGCAGTTTTAATTCTGTTTCGTTTTGGTCAGATTGTGTTAAATGTGTTAAAGCTCAGACTAAACAAGCCTTAGACAGAGCAGTTCTTACAGTTATCATCCCACCCCCATGACATCAGCTGCAAAGTATCAATAGGGACATAGATTTCTAACCCCATAGTTTAAACCTCTACAAACCTGTAGTGAAATGCATGGGATTTATGCAGTAGTTATCAGCTAATAATTCTGGATGCGTGTAAAGCCAGGCAACGTTATCTATCACGAGATTTAAAAAAGTGCATAAATGTCATAAACAGCGCCTCAGTGCCCTTTCAAAATGCATTTCAAACACTTTCTATAAAATATGGCAACCCTTTTTTGACAATCTACCTCGGGACATAAAGGAGGCTCCCATTTTATGTTTTAATCTTAATCAATAAGTATGTGATGCGATGTGTATTTCCTTTTCATTTCATCTTTGCCCCTTTAGTTTTAGACGATGCTGTGCTGGATAGTATTGCTCTGTTTTGTTAAAAAGGTAATCAATTATTGTTTAAAAAAAAATGTCATAACCTACATTCATCATACATTAATTCGTTAGTAAGACAACTAAATGGCCTTGAATGTCAGGTTGCCCGGCAGTGTTTCACAAGCTCTGACACTCCTGGTTTGTGGCATCCCTTGATTTATCTAAGGCCTACCCTGGTATTTGAGAGGGACTGCAGGTGTGTGCGCATGACTGTAGGCATTAGGATTTGTCATTACAATCGGAAAGTTTGACATAGCATTCTGGTGAGTCACGGCGTGGAAGCATTCTCCACATATTTACTGCGAGTGTGGCTAAGGCGCTGGTTTGATTACAGAGCTGCGCTGGTAGTTTACTGACAGCTTTATATGAAGTAAGTAAACAGGAATCCTCACCAGCTGTGAGCCTGTCTATAACACTCACAGCTACAAAAGACAAGTTAAACCTCGTAAAGTCGACTTCTTTGGCTCGCACTATAGCTACATTTAAAGCTGCATTGTGTAGCTTTTCTAGTGGAGATGTTATTGCTTCATCTGGGATTTTTCACAGAATGGTATTACAACTTTCTATCTTCATGGAGACTAAACCAGACCAAGTTACAGGTCAGATCTGTGAAGAGGCAGCCCCCCTCACAGTCAGAATGCCTGTTTTTGTAGATATTTTTGAGCTATAAAAGCACCTGAAATTGAATAAATGTAAAGTAGAGCAGTTTAATGTCACACTGTGGAACATTCAAAGCAGAGCAATGACATATCCGTAGAAACGAGCAGGTGGCGGACCCGCAACCAAAAAGTTACACAGCGCACCTTTAAGTCATAGTTTTACTTCTGAGTACTTGTTTTATTTTAAAGTTTAATATTTTATTTTTTTATATTTAGTTTTAATTTTCAGCAAAAATCTGAAAAATATACTAGGGATGTAACAATAACGGGAATATTGTGATATTGTATCGTCAAAAATCTCTCAACAATATCGTGGATCATCACAGTATATCGAATTACAGGTCTCTTTGCTTAAATTAATTTGTTGCAGCAATAGATAAAAAAAGACAGAGGGAACTACATAGACCATGATCCTTTGCTCCTGTTTCAGTGTAGACTACAAGAAGAAATAACAGTTCTAAGCACTTTTAAGTCTTAATTTGGATAAAGTCTTGTCAAGGCATTTTAAGAGGAAAAAGTAGCATATTAACAGTTTTAGCTGTTTACCCTCCACAAAATATTGCAGTAAATATCGTGCCATGAGATGTATATCGTGAAAATATCATAACAAGAGATTTGGATATTGTTACATCCCTGATCGTGAGCTTTCCCATGATATCGCAATAAATATCGTACCGTGAGGTTCATATGTGATGATATCGTATCGTGAGACTTGGATATCGTTACAACCCTAAAATATACTGTACTGTTTTGAATCTGTATTTTGATTAAATCACTTCTAAAACGCACCTTTTTTCACCAGCGTTTAAAAAGTGAGATGTAAATTTTTTGTTGTTGAGTATCTTATTGTTTTCTATGTTATTTTTAGTAGTTGTATTGTGTTTGTACTGCGATTGTCCTTGTCTATCCTGTGTTTGTGTACAGCACTTTAGCCAGCTGTAAAGTTTTTAAAGCGCTTTCTAAATAAAGTTGGTATGGTTTTTATACAGATTTATGATTGCGAGATAAAGCCTTGGTGCCTTAGTGTGAACCTGTGATCGTTTTTATGTTCTTTGAATTATTCTTAGCGGCTTAAATTATGAATATTCTGAGAGAATAAATTAGAAGATTAGAAGTGTTTTAACAACAAAGCCACTGACTAGTTATGTGACATTAGCATTCAGATATAAAAATGTGGTGGTTTAATTAGCACTAGCATAATTAACATGTTCTTTTTATCTTGTTGCATGTAATGAAGGAGCACCTGATCAGAGTGGGTTTTTTTTAGTGTTAATGGGAGAAGAGGATGAGTCAGACGAAAACAAGCCACCTAAAGCCTAACATTACAGATGACTTCACAGCAAGGACAAACAAACTCACCTCTGCTCCAGCTGTTGGCCGTATTCTCTGCTATCTGCGAGCTTTTTACTGCCCTTTTGAAGTGCGTCATTGAGAACTTTCTCTCTCTGCGAACAGCTCGCCTCCAGCTCGGCTTTCTGTGTTGCCAGTTTGCGCGACTCGATCTCCTCCATTTCTCGTCGGAGCTGCTGCATCGTTTCATTGTTAATTTTCTGAACTTCCTCTTCTCTTACCCGTTTCTCCTTCTCGAACTTTTCCTCAAACTCTTTCTTCATTGTCTGTGTGATTTGCTTCGATTTTTCCTCATATTCCTCTCTCATGCGCGTCTCTTTTTGCTCCGCTTGTCTCTGCAGGGCCCTCTCCCGCTCGTGCATGCCCAGCTCAAGTGCTTCTCGTTGGGCTTTCTCCTTCAGAGCAGACTCTCTGGTTTTTTGGAGCGCAGACTCTAACTGAGCGATCCTGCTGTTGAGCTCATGGAACTCGTTGTAGATGAGGTAGCTGACTCCACAGTATCGGCACACCGTTTCACTACGAGGCATCTGCAAACAAAATACATGAAATTAACTTGGTTTCTTGTTCTTATCTGCACATACTTTTTAAATTCACTTTTTTGTATGTGTTATTCTGTGTAATTACAGATGAAAACACATGGATTAACACTGCAGCAGACTTTCTATTTATTTATGGGTTCAACTTCCCTGCCCACCTGGTTCTTTATGTGCAATGTTGGTGTGTTTCTCCCCATGTCTGGATAGGTTTCCTCCAGGCATTCCCTCATAAACTCAAAGCACGCACAATAGGTACTGTATAATCTACAGGCTAAGGTGGTCCTGACAAAACCTGGCTCAATGTATGGGGAAGGGTCCCTGAGTTCCCTGCTTCCACAAATTTAACTTTAATATAAAACTTATTGCCTTCCTTATGATCCATCAATCTATAATATCATGTTCCTAATAGTGGCTCAGCAAACATGCTCCATTTCCACTCTCTAAAGCATTCTCTCTCCTGGTAAATGGTGTCTTGCCCAAGGACACATTCTGTGGGTCAGTGGATCAGACTTCTCAACCAATTTATTTTTATTTATTGGAATGTCCCGTGAGATGCGCAATCTTGTTTTCGAAGGGGTCCAAAAAACACAAAATATTAGTACTGTATTTTTCAGACTATAAGGCGAACTTAAAATCCTTTTAATTTTCTCCAAAATCGACAGTGCGCTTTATAATCTGGTGAGCCTTATGTATTAATTCTGGTTGTGCTTACTGACCTTGAAATGATTTTATGTGGTACACAGCGCTCAAAAATCTGTCAAAATGTTTTAGTATGACTTTGGTAAGCTACGAAGCCGCACTGCTTGATGGATTGTCGGAGCATTACAGCTACTGTAGTCAGGAGCCTCGCGGAGTAAAGGGTGAAGTATAGTTCTGCATCGACTCAACTCACACTGCTGCTGTTGCCTTGTCAGTGTCGTTTTTGATTTATGGGTCTGCGTCAAGGTCTATGCGCCCGAAGTAATTCACCACCACAACGCTAGGAGGCTAGGGTTTAAACCTGGCATTCATATATAACAGGGGTTAGCAAACTTATGTATGAAAATAGACAAGAGAATTCAACATTACTGATATTGCGCCTCAGAGTCCAAAAAATACAGTAATACACAATACAATGCAATACAATAGACAGAATACAAAACTTACAAGTTCACATTACAAAACATACACACACATTCATACATACACACAGACAGACTTGCTCCCTCACGCACTCCTCCCAACTCCTGCAACAGTACCTGATTATAAAAAATTGAGTATACTTTATATAACAATGATATAAACAAATGGAAAATAACAATAGAACAAACTGCAAAATACCAACAAATTCTGTTAACGTCAAGATTGGGATTCAAACCACCAACTTTCAGATCGGTGGACAGATATTCTTCCACCTGAGCCACTGTGACCCTCTTGCAAGTGTCTTCTTCTAGTCCCACTGTGCATCTCTAGTCAATCTTTAACTGAACTGTCAGTATAGCAAACATTTTATATATTGTACCATGCTGCAGCGTATAAAAACACCACGAATGACAACTAGGAGCGTTGTTATCCTTCCAAACTGGTTTTAGCCCAAAGCGCCTTTTATCTGTCAGCATCAAAGAGCAGAAACAAAGATGCTCTAATCTTTGCATCACATCCTGTTCCATCGCGAGGAAAGCAAAAAGAAAGTCCTGCTAAAATTATACCGTTCCACTGTCTGTGTTGGCTTCTTTTCTTCCATGTTTGATTCATGTGATGGATCAGATTGCGTCCCCGAGTGTTTTGAGTGGTGGCACATAGACAGCTGGTACATGCATGATATAATGACAGGCAGCTACTGTGTCCTTAGAGAAAAACTGTAAACAAAATACAACCGATGTTCACACAATTGCAACTCGATCCACATGTTGTGTCTTGGCTGCTATTTATGAACGTACGCTCAAACACCTTGTCGCTAACAACAGTAGGAGAGATTTATGTAGTTACATGTACAGGGAGTGCATACAGTATAGAATTATTAAAGGTGCGCTGTGTAACTTTTCTGGTGTAGGGTCAGCCAACTGCTTGTCTCCATGGAGATGTTATCGCTATGCCTAGAATGTTCAACAGTATGGCGTTATCTAGATGTCACCAGACCAAGAAAGAAAGAGACAAAGAAAAACGACAGAGATACAAAGAGAGAAATAGAGAAAGAGTAAGAGAAAGAAAGAGACAGAACAGAAGATGGAGTTATCTAAATTTCACCAGGCCAAGTTACAGGTTAGAGCAGGGGTGGGCAAACTAATAATGAAAATACTAACAATTTTAAGTGTTTTAAAAGTCATTTAAATAAATACTGTGGGACTTGAAAGACAGATATTTAGTTGTAATGTTTTGTAATGATTTTCAATTATGGGATATTTCAGTAACATGGGATATGTTTTCTATCTAGCCCATGTTGTTTTTTTCGCTTATGACGTACCAAAAAATTCCATCCATCTGCTCCTGGTCCGGCCCTTCCGTGACATTTTAGAACAGGGGTCTCAGACTCGCGGCCCGGGGGCCAACTGCGGCCCTCGGAAGGATTTTTTGCGGCCCTCCACTTAATTCCAAAGAATAATGTCAGTGCGACCCACGGTAGATGTACGCACAATCCCACCCCCTACCGCTGGACACGCTGACAGATGAAGCTGCAATTGGTGCCCATGCAGATTCACAACAACAGATTATAAAGCAGCTTTACATCCCAAAACTCAATTTACAGCAGTTGTGAAGCAACGAGTCTAAGTGGATCTGTGAAGACGAGTACATGTGCACATACAGCGTTTTTTTTTTCGTGCAACTGCGATTTATCGAATACTCAATGCAGCCCAGCCTCACTCAGACTTTATCTAATGTGGCCCCCAGGTAATTTGAGTTTGAGACCCCTGTTTTAGAACCTTTTGTGGCTCACGAGTCAAAAGGTTTGCCCACCCCTGTTTTAGCGTCAACCTTGCTCACAATGAAATTCAAAAAGTTTATTGTCAGATTTAGTTTATTGAAAAATTGAAATCATGTTCTCACTTTCAATCTTCTAAATTAAATAATAATAAAATAAGGAAAAGTCCAAAGTTCTTTTCTAGGAAGATGCAGATTCCTAGCTTCCTGGCTGCCTGGTGGTTACAGAGGGGGGAGAGTTCAGCATCCTAACAGCCTGGTGGATGAAGCTGTTAGTGAGTCTGGTGATGCGGAAATGGAGGCTCCTGTACCTCCCCCCAAAAGGCAGGAGGCTGAACAGATTGTGTGAGGGGTGACTTGCAGCGCTCACAGTTGTGATGGCTTTGCGTGTGAGGCGGGTGGTGTTTATGTCTTGCAGGGAGGGGAGTGGTGCACAGTAATCTTCCTGGCTGTGTTCACTCTGCGCTGCAGGGCTCCTGTTGTGGTCAGTGCAGTTTCCGCCCCACACAGTGATGCAGCTGAAAGGATGCTCTCACTGGTTCCTCTGTAGAATGTGGTCGTGATGGTGGTGGGGCTCTTGCCTGCTTGAGAGGCACTGAAGTAGAGGCACTGCTGAGCTTTCTTCAACAGTGATGCAGTGTTTGTGGTCCAGGAGAGGTCCTCACTGATGTGCACCCGCAAGAATTTAGTGCTGCTCACTTTCTCCACAGCAGCACCGTCGATGGTCAGTGGCAGGTGTTGGGTGTGGCCTCGCTGGAAGTCGACAACAATCTCCGTAATCTTGCTAGTGATATTCAGCTGGCGGTTGTTCTCTCTGTACTGTGGTCAGAAGGTCGACCTCTTTCCTGTAATGAGTCTCGTCGCCCTTGGTGATGAGGCCCACCAGAGTTGTTTCGTCTGCAAACTTCACAGACAAAACAAAACTGAAAATGCAGATTCAAGGTACTTTGAGCAATATTAAATAAATAAATAATAGAGTGATACGGCGATCTTGACGAAAAATTCTCTTGTTTTTGAGAATCCCAATAAGAAGAAGATATCTGAAAGCACTTTGTTCCACTTTGTGATGTCATGTACTAATACAGGAAGTGCTCCACTGTGTTTTTAAACTTCATACACCTTTAGATAGACTCATTTGTATGATGTCAGCTCTGAAAATTTCCAATCTTCCTACATTTACAAGATGGAACAGAGCATTTTAAGGCTTGGAGATGTAGACAGACTAATAATAAAGGATTACGCAAATGTGCAAATGAAATAAAACACAACTCCAGGTATGTTTTTGATGAGGTAACAACATTATAACATGTCTTAAACCTCACATGAGTCAATTTTGCGTAATATAGGACCTTCAAATACTGTAGTTAAGGTTTAGATATCAGGAAAAATCGCCAAACGACTGTAAAATTAGCTTCAAAGGAGCATGTTTTACCTCCTAAGATTGATTAAAAGATTACAACATAAGTGGGTCAGCTGTTTTTGCCAAATTTTGAGATTTCATAAACGACCTACCCGGTATTCAACCTTTGCATATTCAAAACAACATTCATATTACGGCTTGTTTGATTTGGATATTTATTTGGACAAGCTGATACAGGATTACCGACTTCTGCAACTCTCATCAAATTCTAGGATCTCCAAACAGCCAATCTGGACACGAAACTCCAGGGCCAGAGAGGAAGAATAGAGCGTTCTCCCAGGACAGGCAGATATAATCCGATCTGTCAGCGCAGGTACTTTATAAGCCTGTTATTCTTGGCTCCTTCTGTAATGACTATATTAGATACACGTCCTGATGAAAAACACCAGATAGGAAAGATACGGCCACAATTTGCCGACAGAAAGGGAGAGCAAATATATTAGCGTGGGCGAACGGCACAACAATAATACATTACAGTGTGTTGCAGCATAAGGCGCTCTGGAGAATACGGTGGGCTATTATCTGTTTGGAAAGAGAGAGAGAGAAAGAGAAAGAGAGAGAAGGAGGGTGGGGGATGAGAGAGAGAGCGTGTGTGAAAGTAAAGAGTGAGAGAAAGAAAGACAGAAAGAGAGAAAGAAGAGGCAATTTGGAGAATATGGGCTATTATCTGTTT